GGACCTTTTTCTCCACATTCGTTGGAGGGTGCACAAGCTGCTGCTTTCAAGCAGTGGTTTCTCCACCCATGACCTTCACACCCAAAGTTTTCAGCTCAAGCGCTCGCGCGGCTGCAGATTCGGTGATGGCGGCCTTCCGCCATTGTAGCACCAAGTTCAAAGCCCAAGGAAAAAGTGCAGCTCCATTCAAAATGTTCGACCTGATCTCATGAGGAAGACGTGGTAGGAACTGGATTGCCCACGCTTCCTGCACGTAGATCTCCATGACCTTCGTCGTAATCCACCTGCCCCTCCTCGGTGAGCTCGGAGTCCTCGCTCACCAGGAGGAGCCAAGAGGCTCCCCCTGCCCTGAGTGAGCCTAAGTCGATCCGTCGTCGGATGTCACCTGGAAGTCGGACAAAGAGTCCAACAATTTCTGAAACCTGCTCCTCATCGTCTGTCCGCTTGCAGGCCAAAGCCTCTGTCCCTTGGCCTCCTTCCAGAGACAGCGTTCAGCGTTTCAGCATAGTGGCCGTAAGGCCGTCCTGCGCCAAAAAGCTCACGGCCATACTTTTCCAAACAAACATTGAGAGCCTCGGTGTCCACAATTGCACACATCAGCAGGTCGTCCAGGCTAGTGCCCTGATCCAACAACCAACTAGCAAAAAGCTCAAGCAGGTGGTCTCGGTTCTTCTGGGTCGTTGGGAGCACAGGGCGTCCCTGAGGCAACTCCTGGCGACTTCGTCCTGCTGCCCTCATTCGGTCAGCTTGGTCTCGGGGGACCAAAGTCGTTCCATGGCTCACTGCGGACCCAACTAGACCATTGGGGTAGCAGCAGATCAGAAAAACCAACCATCATTTGGGGGAAAGACCGCCAAAGGCAAGGCAGGAGAGGCGGGACCCAGCTGCGTTGCCCGGTCTTCCTCTGTCAGGCACGAAACAGTCGCTGCTATTTGACAGAGCAGGAAAGCCAGAAGCAAAATCCAAGAGCGCCAACGACGGACATTTTCTTAGACCGAGCGCGACGATCCAGATGAAGGTGCAAATCCAAAGAGACGAGTGTGCACCAAAGTCCAAGTCCAGGCACAGAGCAGATCCAAGAAAGATGACTGCTCCCGACAAAATCCGAAGGAAATGGTGAGGGATCGCCCAGGTGGAAAGAGGACCTTCTCCAGGATACCCCTTGGTACTGTCAAAGTCAAGCTCATGAGGCCGCGTCTGACAAGGGTGAAGTCCAGGATAGTGCTTGTAGGCCACATGGCTAAATCTCCATCCTTCTTGATCAAAGAACCAAGGAGGAAAGCTTCCAAGCAGCGACACTGTCAGTCTGCACCAAATCGAGGCAAGTCTCTTGAGGCCAGAGACCCGGGCAATTGCAAGGCAGCAACGACGCGCAGGTCGTGGGCAGCGGATGATCTCTGGTAGGATGATCTGCTGGTAGCCATCTGGTGGGCCCAAAGTGAAAGAACGGAGACCTCAAAGAACGTCTGAGCCCTCTTGACGGAGACGTGCCCTTGACCAAAGCTGATAGGCCAACGTTGGAGTCCATGAGAACCGGGAAACAAGTGGAAGGTCTGCATATAGCCCCCTGCTTCATAAGCCTTTCTGCTGAGAGAATCTCCTGGGTGTTGATGTGGCTTGGCGAATTCCAGCGCCAAACTTTCTCGACCTTCCAGTCTTGTGACAGCATAAGGTCATCCACAAGCATGCTCCCCAGTCTGATGACTTCAGGCTCGAGATGCCGAGGTGCTCTCAGCTTCTTCCTGAGGGCAATCTGGAAGACATAGGCGAGTACATAGGCAAGCTAATCAATGTAAGTAGCCGAAGGATTTGACCATTTTCTCTCAATTCTGATGCGCTCGCGCTGCTTGTCACACCGGCGGTGCAAAATGGATGCGTCAATAGACCCTGCCAAAAAGACAAACTCCTTTCTGTGAGGGCTGCCGTACATGCGTGAAGCACACCAAGTCTCACTGCACACCTCAGGGGTCTCACAGGGGACGATGGCTAGTCCGTCAAGGAACCATTTTTGGAGACTCCTGTACCGCCTCTGACATAGGTATATCATAGACTCTCTGGAGCAATGACCTGAAAGGGCGCCTGTAGAGCAGAGCATTTGTCCAGCCACCAACGAGGCAAGCATGAAGAGCAAAACAAAAGAAATAAGGGTCCACTTTTTCTGGCGTCCGTCTTTTGCCGATTGAAGCCAAGGAAATCTCCTTCCGCCTCACGAACATAGCGTCGTCCGCCAGCGTTTGCCACAGACCATTTCTGGAATGCGGTAGTCCCTTGAAGCTTCGAGACTTTCAGCAAAGGCCAGATGGCATTGGTCTTGGCTCTGGCGCTAGGGACTCTGATCTGGTGGTAGGAGTCCTTTCGGTCTGAAGCACAAATTGAAAGCTGCTGTTCTGGTAGAAGGACTTCGCCAATTTTCCTTCCACATAGTTCCGGGATCGGCGGTCGCCAATCATTCTGTCTGTCTGGGTGTTCTTGTAGCAACTGAAGAACCTCATAGCCAGGTCACTGTCCGCCTCAGGCAAGGGCTCTCTCGTGAAGAACAAACCATTGACGTCCCAGCGCTGGAGCAAGGTCCCTGACTGACTCATATTTCTCCTTCTGAAGATCAGGTCGGTGGGGATGTCTCTCATGCTGAGCCCAACGAAGGCTATCAGGCTCAACAAAGGCTGCCAGCCAGCTTCAGCCTCTGTGGATCTAGATCACGGTAGGGACGTAGTTCTTCAGCTCGATCAAGATCTCTTGCAACTTCTTTGGCTTCTTCATAGCCTTTGCTGGCTCCAGGGAACGTTCGAGAGTAGGCATCTCCTCCTATACCTTCCCAAGCGACAAACTCGGAGAGGTCAGTGAGCAGAGCCAACAAAGATGTGATTCTTCAGCCGCTCTGTGGGACTTGAGAATCTTCACACGAATTACCGAAAGCCCTGAACCGATTCCTTAGTCTGGGCACAGTCTGTTGTTGTACAGGAGAAGGATGTCGAGCAAGAGACTCAACAGGGATGTGATTGACGTCGGAGTGCCAGTAGTTCAAGACCATGATACAAATGTGGAACGCCTGATCATAGGCCCTCTTCCTCCTGTGTCTCGATCCTCCTGGTTTAGCGTCAGACAAGCCCAACTTTGGAATAGGCAAAGAAAAAAAGGGCCGTAGTAGAGCTATATGGTAGTAGCCCTTGAACGTGGAGAATGGATCTCAGGAAAGCCGCAAAGGGGGTCCGAGATTGCAAAACTTGCTTGCACAACGTTGAAGCCCACCTCACATTCTTTCCCAAATAGGTGCATCAGGAAAGGTTCCAGCCTCCTCCTCCTCCTCCTCTCAGTCTCCCGGCGCATGTAGCTCCTCCTGCAAGCTGCCACCATCCCGGCAAGAGCTAGCCAAGCTCTCGGAACAAGGGATGTCATACGTGGCTGTCGAAGGTGTGTCAAGTTCCAGAGAAAGTGTCGAGCAGAACCGGCCCCTCCTCCACCTCCTCTTCCCTGTTTTGGCTTCTTGGGAAAACCTGGCTTCTTGGACGCATCGCCTTCCTCCTGTCTCTGTTGCCAAGGCTTTGATGATGTCGATCTCCTTGACAAAAGAAAGCGCTATCGCTGCCCACTCTGCAGGACATAGGGGCGAGAATGCTCTGAGCTGGGATTTGTCGAGGCTGAAGGAAGTAGCAGCGGCTCGTCCTCTGGCACGTTCACCCTCTGGTCTGGTGCTATCGGTGACTCTTTCAGGGCTCGAACTCTGGGCGGGCTGCCCACAGTACTCAGGAACTGTTAGGGCGGATGGTCGGGCCTCGGTCATTCCCGGCTGCCTCTGAGCTGGAGTGGGAGGGGCTGGTTCTTTGGGCGGCGCCGAAAGCAAGCCTTCGACCCTGGACTGTCGATCCGCCATCTGGTTCAAACGGAAAAGATGTTCTGCCAAAACTGCCGTAGTCACCCTCTTCTGTGGCGTGGAAGCCCCACCAGGAGAGGCCTTGGTCTTTCCCTTCGAAGTCTGAGGTCGAGAAGGCGGTTCCGCAGGAGTAGAAGGGTTCGGCTCATCCGCAGAGTAGTACTGGATCCTGGCCTCTTTTCCCTCTTCCAACCAGGAGTAGGTTGTCAGAAGCAGGGTATTCGACTCTGGATAGAGGTCCATGTTGAGAGACGAGAAAGCATGGATGCCCGGCCCGTCTGTCACTGGATCGAAGCCCCTGATCTGGTCGAGCACCCTGTGATGAAGATCCACTATGAGGACCTCGACCTCCTCGTGAACCATCCGCCTCTTCGATGATGGCGGGGATCTTGGCTGTCATCGACGGGCCAACCACGTCCTCTGGTCCAGCACTCAAGCCAGCCTGCAGCACATCTTCGGAAGTCCATAGGTATCGCAAGAAGCACTCCTGTCCGGCGGGGCATCAAAGGCACAGCAAAGCATTCCTGGGTCACAACTCCATCTTCCTTCAAAAACTCCCAGGTGAGCACCTGAAGCATGTACACGCCCTGGTCCAAGAACTTGATGTCCGAAGTCTGAGTAGTGTCAGGAGGATCCGGGAAACTAATCCCGGCCGCACCCCCAGACAATAGACTTTCCCCTCTGCCTGAGATGCAAAGGCGTGACTGATCGAATCCTCGAACTTTGGGAGCAACTTGTAGTACTCGGCCGCTGAACTGACACGGACGGGGCGAGAGATGCCCGGGCCCTTGAGGATGATGTAGACTGTTGACTGGAGTCCCAACTTTGGAGTAGGCCTTGGCTTCGGCACTTTTCCTTCCCAAGTGGCCTTTGCCCAGCAACCTGCTTCCCAGGCTCGTTGAGCTCGATTCTGTACCTCAGCTGCTGTCCCTGCCAAACGACTGCAAAGATCGATGCAATGAGCAGGAAGAGGAGGGATGCTCGATGCCACTTCGTGGTATGCAGAATAGGGTGACCCAAGTGGGCCACGAGATGTCACCTGGTGTCCACTGGCAGCGTCCAGGTGAGTGATCAAGTCCCAGTCCACCGTATCCACAGTATCAGAAGAAATGGATGGTGTAGGGCCGGAAGGTCCAGGAGTGCCCTCGGCACGAGATGCAGCCAAATCCAAAGTATCTGCCAGGCCCCTCAATGAACGTGATACCGCACGTACGCTCTCAATCAAAATGTGGATGGCGGTTTGGGCGTTCATACAAGTACGCCGAGAGGCGTGGATGCGATGGAGGCGATCGACCCACGGAGGTCGGAGGAACAGCAAAAGTCCAGGAAAGGGGGGTTGGCCTGGAAGCGAACCAAAGGATGACCAGGATGGTGCTGAGAGAAACCCAAGCAAAAACCGGAAATCCAAAAGGCGCAAAGGTAGCCAAAGGAAGCCGAACAGTGAGCCGGACAACCTAACCCGCACCAACCTGAGCTGCTACCCCAATGAAGGAGGGAGATCACCTCCCGCACCCAAGAGGCATGAACTTGAGCGGTCAAGGCCCAGCATTCAAAGTTAAAAGGAACAATAACAATAACAACAGTAATGAGTAATAAAGTTGTTGACAAAAAGTTTACAAACAAAGTGTCCTCATGGTTGATGACAGCCACCACACCGTCCTGACACAAAAGCAATCCCATCAATCCTTGGCCCATTTGACAAATGGTAAGAAGTCGAAGACCTTGCGGCCAGCAAGAACTGTGTCAGCTCTTTGTGGATGGAACCTTCGGCGCAAAATGATTCTGCTATTGCATTGAAAGTGTCACATCGGCGTCCCTTTGACACTCTCCAACACTTTCTCAGTGACTTGGATCTCATTGCTTTGTTGCACATGACTGACTGACTTCTGCTATACAACCCTTGCCAGTGGTCCTCAAGTGTTCAATGTCTGGTTCAGTAGCCAGGCGAGTCTTAGGTTTGGACAAGTGTTTCTGTTTGTTCTGACATGTATGCGCGCTAAGCCACAGACTCAAATTGTCTGGTGCCATTGCTGGAGAGAATCAAGCGACGCCTCAAATCTACGCGCTGTACAGAACTTAGGTTCTTTGGTTTGACATTTGGAATTCTCCAAGCCCTCTGCGTATGCGGCAGCTGCCTTTCCGGAACAGATTCCTGTCAGTTTTGCGTGGCAAAGCAACCGGAAACATTGCAGTGGCTGCACAACCAACACCGGCATAGGACCACCGGCATAGGAAGTTGACCAACCCCAACAGAAAACATGAATTCAGCGTGCCTCTGATGCAGCTAAAAAACTCCCACAACGCACAAACGAATCCTGCCGCCACAAAATTCAAAGCAGTTCAATCTGCGCACATCGCTATCACATGGAGGCATTGAATAATGACCGTCACCTCCAGCTTGGCAGAGTAAACCTGGACATTAGCATGTCATGTTTGATTGCCAGGGGAATTGTGTGCACACGGACAACTGCAATGGTTCTTGCGATTGACCGGAGTACGGTTTGTTGGTCCAACAACCCTTGCGCCTGCTCTTCTTCAGGTTTGTTCACTTCTTCGAAGCCTTGATGAACAAACATGAACATGAACATCCACAGCACAAACATTTTTCAATTGCCAAGATCCCTGCAAGGTGTGGAAGCTACAGGAGGCGCTGCCCGAAGGAGTTCGTAGCACCGAGGAATGCTTGGTGACGACCTGACAACCCTGCTTTGCCCCACTCGTCCCGACCCAGACATCAAAGGCCAAGGCGAACTGGAATCGCTGCAGTCACCTGCGAATGCGGCATGGCACGTTGGATGCTCACCCCACAACCCGCACAGCCCGCCAAACCTGAAGGAGATGAGTCAAATCGGTCCTCCAAGCCTTAGGCAAACACGGACGCGCTGACTAATTAACAACAACTACAGCCTGACTAAGTGGCCAGTGACGTGCTCAACTTTGTCTCTAGCGCTTATGCCTGCCGAAATTTATCACACACGTAAAAATCCTTGCAACGGGCCCGAACGGCATAGCACTCGCGGGTAACATTCAGAGGAGGAAGTGGCCATTCCAACATAGCAAACCTTGTGTGAGACACCCGAGGGCAACATTTAGAGGAGGCCGGAACCATTCCAATTCCAATGTAGCACATTTTTAGTGAGCCACCCGATTGCAAAATTTTGTGGAGGAAGGGGCCATTCCAACGTAGCAAACCTAAAACCCGACGGCAAAATTTGGAGGAGGCCGTTCCAACGTAGCAAACCTTTTGTGAGACACCCGAGGGTAAAAGGTAGAGGAGGCGGGGGCCATTACAACGTAGCAGATGCTTTGCTAGCCACCCGAGGGCGAAATTGAGAGGATGTAGACACATAAATGGTCCTGTGTGCGCAAGTGAGTCGCTGCGTGCGCAAGTGAGGTGATTTTGGCGTGCACGAGTAAGTGAGTTGTGAACCGGCCCTAACATTACGGTTAGAGCCGGATTCGGAAACTAATCCGTCGGACTCTGAAACTAGGGTTCTGAAACTGCGGTTCTGAAACTAGGGTCCTGAAACTTGGGTTCTGAAACTGGCATTCTGAAACGTGTATTCTGAAACTGGAAAGTCAAATTATGCAACTGAATTCTGAACACTTGCAAGATACTTCCACCAATTGCTCGGTCATTCGCGGAGACGCATCAGCACCAGCACCCACATGAGGCCACATGCGGCTCGAGCGTCATGACAAAACCAACCGAATTGGCATCAAGAACCTTCTCTGACAAATTTCACAGCGACCCAATAAACCCAACCTCGATCAAAATCTAGAACGGTATCCACTACAAACCTTTGCAGGGGGTCTCTCAGGTCACAACACAAAACACAAATGGTGTATACATTCACCTCAAACAGGCGGGCTCAACTCAGAAAAACAGAAGGCTGTGGTGAACGAACCAAACAAAGCAACACCACCAACACCCACACACACACAGCACACCTACATCCTCAAACATCATTGCTCTAAGCCGAGAAAGCACAACACCACAAACTTCATGCGTTTGCCAAGCGATATCTATGTCATCTCGACATCATGCGATAGCGTGTGCACCTGTGACATCATCTTCGAAGCACATTGAAACCAACGTCATTAGCCCCCTATGCCCCCATCTTCCAAAGCGTGTGTGTGTACCCCTTGGAGTCACAGGGATCCTCACAGATTGTTGCTTTTTGGAGTTCATTTTACAGCAGCAGGGGGCCTGACGGTCGATTTCCTAGCCACGCCAACGAAGCCATGGAAATCGACTGGATGGAAGTTTGGACGCAAACTTCCGTACCTGCATTTGTGTCAACACTCTTTTCTTTCCCCTTCCTTCTTGCTTGGGTGTCCCTGGATGCTTTGGTCATAGCTGGGAACCCTTCTCTTTTTCTCTTGGTGTGTCCTTGGACGCTTGCGTCGTAGCTGGGAACACCTTCGTTTCCTTTCTTTTCCTTTTCTTCTTTTCTTCTATCCCTACCCCTCCCTCCCCCTTGCGCGACGTGTTTACATACAAACGAAGCTTTGCAATGAGGTTCGGTTTCATCGGTTTCTGCCCCCTTCATTCGGTTCCCCCTTTTTCATCCCGTTTCCCTTCACGCGCATTTTTCTCCTCTTTTCTTTCATGTCTCCCTGTCTTCATGTCTTGTCACCCCATCCTTTCTTTCGTTGCGCGCGCATCTGTCCTGGCCTTAGTGCGCACGCGCACTTCTACATGTACTTTAAACCCAGGTTTCAAGTCGCCCAGGTTTGATAATGAGGTGGGGTTCATTGTTTGTCCCCGTGCATTTGGTTCCTTTTCATTTCAACCTGAAGACCCCCAACTTTGACGGCTTGCAGCTTTGGTTCTTGTCACCAACTTACTAGCGATGGCCCCTCAACCTGCTTTCGATGGCCTCCAACCTAAGTGAGAGGACCTCCAACTTTGACTGTTTTGACTGTTTTGCTGTCTTGTTTTTTGTCACCAACTTACTAGCGATGGCCTCTCAACCTGCCTTCGATGGCCTCTAACCTAAGAGCGATGGCCTCCAACTTTTGTGCCTCGTTTTACTCAGGCTCCTTTTTTAACCTAGGCCGGCGTGTGGCACCGCTATCAGTCCGTACGCATATCCATAAGTGTGTCTGGCCCTGCGCCAGTCCGGGATGAGCCCGTAGAGCGCCTCCCGTGGACCCGTCAAACGGGCGTCTGTCCATGTTCCCTGGCTTTGGGAACGTAGGTGTCCGGAGCGGACAGCAGATGGCTTATGCCGAAAGAATTTAGATCTTTGTCTCATCTTTGGAATTCCAAGTTGGCTTCTGCCTTTACGTGACCGCAGCAGGCAAAGCAGCCAGCCACTTTGGCAGGGCACAAGGTGACCATAGCGATCAAAGCAAGTTTAAGGTTCATTGGAACCTGTCGAGCACTTAGTCCCCCCTCCTCCCCCTTCCCTCCCCCTTTCTTTCTTTGCTTTCTGGTGTTTTCCTGAATGGAATACTCAAGATCTCCCCTCTCTTTCTTTGGTGTGTCCCTGGACGATTGTTCGTAGCTGGGAACACCTTCCTTTCTCTCCTCTCCCTTTCTCTCCTTTCCTTCTCTCTTTTCCTCTCTTCACCCTCTTCCTTGGGTGTCCCTGGACGCTTTCGTCATAGCTGGGAGCCCTTCCTTTTTGGTGTGTCCTTGAACGCTTGCGTCGTAGCTGGGAGCATCTTTGTTCCCTTCTTTCTTTCCCTCTCTTTTCTTCCTCCCCCTCCCCCCTCTTTCCTCGCGCGCGGCGTGTTTACAAGCAAACTAGGCTTCTGCAACAGGTTTTTCTAATGAGGTTTGGACTGTCATCGGTTTGTCCCCGTTCATTTGGTTCCCCTTTCATCGGCCCCCACAGGCGTTTTTCCTTCTTTTCTTTCATGTCTTTCTGTCTTCATGTCTCTTCATCCTCATCCTTTCTTTCTCTTGCGCGTACTATCGTCCGGACGTTAGTTTGCACACATACACGCACGCGTACTCTACTTACAACGAGGTTCAGGTGGCCCAGGTTCGTTACAATGAGGTTTGGTTCATCGGTTGTCAGTCTTCACTTGGTTCTTCTTCATCGGCAACCACACACACCTTCGTCTGTCTCGCCCTTTTCATTTTCATCTGTCCCTTTTGCGCGCACATGTGCCTTGCCTCCTTTCCGGGCAGGATGGAGGCCACACATGCCTCCCTTCGGGGAGGCGTGCGTGTGTGTAACCCTTGGAATCAAAGGAAACCTTTAGGTTTGGAACAGGGGGCGTGACGGTCGATTTCCTAGTCACGCCAATGAAGCTATGGAAATCGACTGGATGGAAGTTTGGACGCAAACTTCCGTACCTGTTCCCCTATTAGGAAAACAGCAGGAAATGGTACCCGACACACTGGTAGGCCTCCCAACTTTGTAAGGGGTTCTTTAACCTGAACTTTGGCCTCCACCCACTAGATTCTAGTGGCCCCCAACTTTGCTGTCTCGTGTTTCTTGCGCTTTTTGTGCTTCTTGTCACCAACCTCCTAGCGTTGGCCCCCAACCTGCTTTCGACGGCCTCCAACCTAAGAGCGAAGACCCCCAACTTTGACGGCTTGCAGTTTTGGTTCTTGTCACCAACTTACTAGCGATTGCCCATCAACCTGCTTTCGATGGCCTCCAACCTAAGTGAGAGGACCTCCAACTTTGACTGTTTTGACTGTTTTGCTGTCTTGTTTTTTGTCACCAACTTACTAGCGATGGCCTCTCAACCTGCCTTCGATGGCCTCTAACCTAAGAGCGATGGCCTCCAACTTTTGCGCCTCGTTTTACTCAGGCTCCTTTTTTAACCTAGGCCGGCGTGTGGCGCCGCTATCAGTCCGTACGCATATCCATAAGTGTGTGTGTGTGTGTGCGTGTGTGTGTGTGTCGCGCTCCGTATCCAGGAGCTTCATTCTCTTTGAACATGACAAGCAGGGGGGCAGAGAGGACTTGCAAGGCTCTGCCCAGCAAAGCGCCTTGCAAGATCCTAGGTAGCGGAAACTGATCAATTCCGTGTACCTGCTTCGTGACAACACCCCAATCTTCACTGCTGTTCCTTGTTTCCATGGTCCTTTCATGACATCCCCAAAAACATTTCCCTCCGCCGTTTTGCTTGTTTCAAAGATTTCAAGTGCTGTTGCTGACTCAGCCGCCGTGCGTTTCCCTCATCCATTTCCCTATGGTTTACCTTTGTCTGAGTGTGTGATCTCGACATCATGCGATAGCGTTTGTGCCTGCGACATCATCTTCAAAGCACATCCAAACCAACGTTATTATAGCCCCCACCCAACCCCCCCAACCCCTCAAAAATATGACAGCGCGGGCAACCCGGCCTGCTATTTCGCCGGCGACCGGCCGGCCGGCCGCTATGGCCAGCCGGCCGGCCCGCCGGCGTTGTCGTAGTAGTAGTAGTAGTAATAATAATAATAGTAGTAGTAGTACTAGTGGTAGTAGTAATAGTAGTAGCGGTGGTAGTAGTAGTAGTCGTCGTGGTGGTAGTAGTAGTAGTGGTGGTAGTAGTGGTAGTGGTAGTGGTAGTGGTCGTGGTGGTGGTGGTAGTAGTAGTAGTAGAAGTAGTAGTAGTAGAAGTAGTAGTAGTAGTAGGTGGTGGTAGTAGTAGTCGTCGTCGTCGTAGTCGTAGTCGTAGCAGTAGTGGTTTCGTTTACGTTGGCCGACTCTTTGTTCCAGGTTGGGCTCACCAATCTTGAAGCATGTGACAGTTCTACGGCTCCAAAATGAGGTGGATGCGACCTAGATTACATTCACCAAACCTGCGCATTCCTTCAGCGCTTCCCTGCTTTGCACAACCATGTTTTGCAGCACTTGACGTCAACCTGTTCTTGGCAAAGACGCAAACATTTTCGCTGGCCTACTGGGCCCAAATGACCGTCAAAAAGCCCAGCGCAAAGGCAGGTCAGCCAACGAGCTACCAAACATCAAGCCTTTGCTAACCGTGGACGGCTTTGCAGGACGTCTACCTGCTGCATTTGCCGAGGCACCAAGGCGCGGCTGTCCCAACGCAATACTAGAGCTATGCTCACATTCTATTATATACTCGGACAAAAGAAATATAATATGTATATATATATACACAGAATACAGATAATATTGTATATATACCATACATATTCACGCACATATAGAATCTAGAGCTCAACCAAAAATCTCGCACACCTGAGGCCAGAGCTTGCACGCACCCATTTGCCAGTCAGCCAGACGGGACTAACTTGGGCGCTTGGGCAAATGTGTGAGCAAGCTCATTGATCTTGAACGGCAATTGCTTAAGATGGTTGGGGCTGTAGGCGCTTTGCTGCGGAATCCAATGAGGAGCCCCTAGGACATAATGCCAACACAATGCAAAGTGTGCTGGTCATGTTTCTAGGACGCTACTGAAGCTTCTTGCGTCCGTGCTTCAAGACAAGTTCGTCTGGCGGCATTGTTGGGCTTTGCGGCGTCTCCGATAACTGCGAGGAAAGCGGTTGCGGCAGGCGTGGAGGAAACGGCGGAATGGATGGAACCACTTCACTAATTACACGTGATTGAGAAGGGCTGCCCGCGACATCTTCCGCGCCATAGAACGAAAATGTCAATGGCATGGAAGGTCACCCACCCAGTTCATGAAGTCCTTCCGCGCGCAAAAAGTGAATATACTGTATATAAAGGAAGTGAAGGTGGGCAAAGTCAGCATTGCCCTTTGCCGACGGCGTCTAATCAGATGCCATGTGGAGGAAACTCGAGCCGTCACAAAAGAGCCCCTCCACCATGAGACCTATTGAGACCTTGTGCTCATGGAACCCTCGCTTTTCTCTTGGCCAAACTCTGATGGTTACATGGTCTATGTCAAGACACGCCACCAAGAGTCTAAAATTGGAGGGCAGTCAGTCAAGATTCTTGTTGGAGGTAGTCGCCCAGGCCAAGCTAGTACCAAGACACTGTGGAGCACACGGAGCACGCAAACACTTTGGAGCTATCCTGGCATCCGTGCCTTTGGCCAAGATTGATTTTAGATAGGTGGAAGGTCTTGCATATATGGCGCATATATAAGTTGGTTGATGGGGTGCCTCTTCACGCCACCAAAATCGTGAGGGCACTGCGCGATACATGAAAGAGTATGGTTCTGTTCATGTTTGGAGCAAAGGTTGATAATAAAGGGCATGGAAACGGCATTAATATAAGCGGCGTTCGGGTACAAAAATAACGCTCAAGAATCTGATGCGACCACGTGAAGAGGCTGTCGCGGAAGTAAAAGTATACTAAGACTTGCTTGCGCGCAGCCTCAAACATGATCTGGGGGCCCGGCCAGCACATCGCACCTGTGTTGCGCAAGCACTTGTCGTTTCCGTAGCACAGAAGACTCTCATAGTTTGCAGCAAGTGGAAAACAAGGCTGTGGGCACTTCCCATTTCCCATACTTTTGCGGTCACCGCCCGACTAAAGTGTTCGACGTCACGTTAATTTGTTTTAGTGATGTTCGCCGCGCCCTACAGGACGGCGTAAAGAGCTGTGAGACATCAGCCTTTGCGCTTGAAAACTGCATGCCTGAAAGGCACGCTACAAAACGCACCTTTCACGAGCTGTGGCAAAACGATCGCAAACGTCACACAGGTCAAAGTTGAAGGTCTCAACTTTGATTTCAACATGTTTGTGCTTTTATAAGTCTTTCCCCGGGAGCGTCTGCGAAGGGATCTTCTGTTGAATTTTTGTGGGTAACACATCTGCATCAATACATTGGGGCTTATATATGTACGCTAAAAGAACACTTGCAGCTTGCATTGCGGTGTTCTAGAGCTGTGCAACGTATATAGCTGCAGTGGTATGCGTGCTGCGATGGGTATGCTACAAGTACATCTGCAGCTTGCGGGCATGGTTTTGTAGAGCCGCTGCTACACTAGCACTGCTTTGGTTGCTTTGGCGCTGGGATGTTGATAGGATTAATTATAGATTTTCGCTGGAACCTTGGTTATATATGCGAAGTCAAGTATAACTTGTCGCTGAGGTCTTGCTTAAGTAAAGTCGTAGGCAAAACCAATTATGACTTTCGATGGGGTCTTGCTTCAAAAGTACAGATAGGTTAACATGGAGTAAAGCATATGCTTGCTCGCGCATCCGTGAAGCGTCTCGGCTCTTTATCTATTCGTTCTTAGGCAGGAGCTTGGCCAGACAGGGCTTGCGAGGCATGACCCTCTGAGGGGATCGCGCGCATCGAGCGCTTTGAAGCGAAATGTGAATTCCAGCTGGATGAAGCCCTGTACGCGAAAATCAAATTTTGTGAGGATGCGCGCGCGTCGAGTGCTCAAACCTGAGGCGAAATGCGAAGTTCGTTCCCGAGGTGTGTACTGTCGTCGAAAACGAAAGTGGGTTGCCAAAGTGTGTAACTGTCGCCGAACACAAAGGTGGAGGTTGCCAAAGTGTGTTGTAACATCCCTACCCTATCCTGAGGGGGGGCGTCGAAAATTGTAAGTTACATTTTCCTGCGCGCAGGGCCTCAAAAAATGTAATTACATTAACTTTGAGGTGGCCTCAAAAAGGTAACTTACATTTTTGAGGCCTCATGGGTGATTTCCTGGGGAATGAAATCAAAAATGTAAGTTACATTTTTCCCCCCAGGCCCCATCCCCACACTAATTTCTGCTCACGACCACGTCCCGCATGGTCAAATGCGGCATTTCAAGGAAATGCCTGCCGAAACATGTCAGCCGTCAGCCATCAAGTTGAATGATGCTGCCCGCGGCCGGCTGCATCATTAGCATTTTTTGAACTGAAAAAACAAATATATAAAATATATATGTTGTTTTGTTACAATTCTTTTTGGCCGGGGGGTCTTCCATACACAACTCCATACACAACTCCTTCTGCAGCAACAAGCCACACAAAAACAAAGCAGATGAGGGAACAGCAGTGGGTCTGAGTCATCATCAACAAAGAAGAACAGGAAGCACACCCAAAGCAAACTGCCAAGAAACAGGAACATACATGTTCCCACTGAAGACCCCAAAGGAAGGCAACAAAGCGAGACCCAAACATAACAGACGATCACACTCCATACATAATAAGCAATAATGGAGAACAATAAAGGAGAGGCTGCCTGTTCTATTGGGCAGGAGAACAAGGATATTCAACGCCGTTTGATCCCCTGGTTTCTTGCCCCCTGCTTGCGGTTCGTGTGGTCGGACGTGTGTGCTTTTCAGTATGCTAAAATGTAAGTACCTCAGGGGGACACCCCAGTTCCTTGTAAATTCTGGGGAGTTGGGCATGTGGCCAAAATGTAAGTTACAATTTGTGAGGTCAAACTTTCTCACAGAACCCATGTATTCCCTGTAAAATCTGAGGGTTTGGATGCGTGGACTAATTGTAAGTTACAATTTTGGACGTCTGCAAATCTCACCTTTCGCCTGTGTCCTGGTCCTGCATTTTTGGAGGCTATGTTTTCCTTGGTGTTGAGGCATCAGCAAACAGTTGCCAAATAATACGTTTAGTTAATTACTTATTTAGAAAATATTTCTTTAAGTGACTCCCACCCGCAAATAATTTCTTAGTGATTGGCGTATCTTCGATCTGCCAACGCACCCTAGGGGGGGGGGAGTAAAAAAAATGTAAGTTCAGGCCTCCCAGGTCCCAAGTTACATTTTCCAGACCCCCCCCCCTCCCCTCGATCTGACGACCCCCCCAGGGGGGGGGTTGGAAAAATGTAAGTAAGCACGTCCCAGGCAACAAGTTACATTTTTTTTGTCCCCCCCCTCCCCCCCTTGACTAGTTTCGATGGTGCCTGGGGGGGGGGTAACTTACATTTTTTGACCCCCTAGGGGGGTACCCTAAAATGTAACTTACTTTTTTGAGGTCCCCCCTCCCGGAAGTAGCTCAAGGGGGTAGGGATGTTGTAACCGTCGCTGAAAACGAAGGTGGAAATGCCCAAGTGCGTAACCATCGCCGAAAACGAAGGTGGAGGTGGTCCTGAGGTGGTCATAAGTTATAAGTTATAAGTCTTAAAGTGTGTAACTGTCGTCGAAAACTCGCGCTGTTTTACAGCGACGGGTATACCCGGCTGGGAGTCCAAGGATGACTTCGCGTTCGGCAATTTGCTTGGCCTCGCACACGCAATTCGCAAAACGATGTTGGCGCCACGTGTCCTTCTGCAAGCCCTGCAGGCCCCCTTCCGGGGATGGTGTCGAAGCAGTGAAAATCGGAAATTCGCCCGCTTGCTTGTGCTTACGCGAAACTGACGCCTAACGCTTCAACCTCCCACGGCTCCAATCCACGGGCAGCACTCACGGAACAACTGTCAGATGCATCCATCAACAAATCGTTTCCACAAGGGTCACACAAGGGTGACATTCTCCTGGCGTATCTTCTGGAAATTATTGGCATGCATTCTGATGTCCCTTCCTGCAAGATACCTGGCGTATCTTTCTCAACTGCAGTTCGCAAACCTGTTCACCATGAACAACATCCGGAAACCCGGCTGGCTTCTTCGCAGTCTCAACGCAGAACGCAAACAACCCCGCTACCATCACCCGGGCAGTCAACGGACACGCCAAGGACACAACAAGCACCTGTTCTATCTTGTCAGCTGAAGCGCAAAGAGGGGAGCCATCAAGTCCTAATACCGAACGCACTTCAAAAAATTGTACATTGATTGGCACATTAGGGTTTGTGTGACTGTCGCAACACCCTCCACTCGGAAAAGCGCTATACTTTTGAAGAAATTTCTACTGTTCATTCGAAAACAAAACGAGATAAAAACACAAAGAAAGGAAACAAAATTACTGCTGCTGCTTCAAAGCCCTTCGACGAATCCCAATTTCTCTCAGCGCTGTTCTGCAGTAGCATCTGAATTTCAAGGTCACAGTCATGCAGTTTCAACCCAAGTTTGGCGCTTCAAACCTGTTCATGGAGCTTCAACACTGGTCGGTTGTCTGGGGCGTTGATAGCAGCAAAACACTGCGTTATTGCGCGTGGGGCCCCTCCTCCAACGCCGACCCTCCATTCCAACCGCTTGAAAGTCTTGCAAGCCTGCATTTACGGTTACTTAAGCCCCAAGAGGCAAAACTCCACGTGGCCACTTGCCGTGGCCCATACATACTGTTCATTCAAGCATCAGACGTCAGACGCCAGGGCAGGCCTTCGTTGAAGCCATGCTGGACAAGGTCGCGATGGCTTTGTGCCTTGCCACGCACACGCAGCTCAAAACTCTCAAGATCTCAGCTCTCTCACCGTCACAAAAAGAATGAAGAATGCACAAAGGTGCTTTCCAGACCACAGACCCCAGCCTGCACCATGGATTCAGGACAGGTCTTTCCTGCCATGACAGTGGAGGTAAGAGTTTTGAAACAACAGGGGCCAATCTCACGCGCTCACGCGCACGCGCACGCACACACTTATAGAAATGCGTACTGACTCGAATGCCGCGCAAGAAAGTTGGAGGTCATCGCTCTAAGGTTGGAGGCCATCGAAAGCAGGTTGAAGGGCCATCGCTAGTAGGTTAGGTGCACAAGCTGAAAGCGACACCAAGCAACAAGGTTGGAGGTCATCGCTAGTAGGTTGGAGAGGTTGGAGGCCAGCGCTACAAGTTGACAAAAGCACCAGTAAAACAACAAGGTTGGGGGGTCAGTTCTAGTGCGTTGGAGGCCATCGCATCAGGTTTGACAAGACACAAACACAAAACCTAGAGCAGGTACGCAGTGGGACGTCCCCCACTGCATCAGCACCTACTGGCGCCCTCTTAGTTGGACGGGAAATGCCAGTGGTGCCCCGTCCCCCTGCTAAAAGAACATCAAGAAACAAAACAGTCCAAAAGGAACCTCGTGACTCCAGAGGGGACACACACACGCCTTTCCGAGGGGAAGCAAAAAGAATTAAGGCTAGGACGGTTGCGTAAATGTGCGCGCGGCAAAAACAAAAGGATGAAGGCATGAGAAGGAGGACAAGACGGGACAAAAAGGTGTGTGGCTGCAATGAAAGAGAAACCCACTGCGCAGGGACAACCGATGAACCCCACCTCATTGTAAAGACCTGGGCGACCTGAAACCTGTGTTTAAAATTCATGTAGAAGTGCACGTACACACTAAGGCCGCGACCTATGTGCGCGCAAACGAAGAAAAGGACGAGATGACCAGACATGAAGACAGGAGGACATGAAAGAGAAGAGGAAACCAAAGGTGTGTAAAGGGGAAAAAGGATGAAAAGGAAACTAAATGGAGGGGACGAGAACCGATGAAGCCGAACCTCGCCTCGTTTGCATGTATACGCCTGGGACAGGTTCCAACGAACCTTCAACTTGCTTTGACCGCTATGGTCACCTTGCCCCGTGCCAAAACGGCTGGCTGCTCAGACCGGTTGGGTCACCTAATGGCTTGCTCGAAAGCTGCCTACTTGTACTCAATAATTCAGCAAGTCTTGGCAAATAACTTTGGCGTAAGCCTCCTACGCTCGCTGCGAGCATGCTCTGTATCCGGGCAGGGGGTACGTTCGACAAACCCTTGGAGTCCAAGGTCGTATCGTCTTCTTGCCCCACCTCCACAATCTCAAGGTCCTCTATGTCTCCTCTGCCTGCAGCCCTCAGGTCCAAGTCCTTTGCGTCCACAGGGGCCACTCTTCGGGGTCACCCGGGACTCTCACGAGGAGAGACACACTTATAGAAATGCGTACTGACTCGAACGCCGCTCGCCACATGGCAACCTAAGTTTAAAAAACCTGAGTGAACCAAGGCAAGAAAGTTGGAGGTCATCGCTCTGAGGTTGGAGGCCATCGAAAGCAGGTTGAGGGGCCATCGCTAGTAGGTTAGGTGCACAAGCTGAAAGCGGCCAGAGTACCAGGTTGGAGGCCAGCGCTACAAGTTGACAAAAGCACCAGTAAAACAACAAGGTTGGGGGGTCAGTTCTAGCGCGTTGGAGGCCATCGCACCAGGTTTGAGGCCAGCGCTACAGGTTCACAAGACACAAACGCAAACTTAAAACCTAGAGCAGGTACGGTGGGGCGTCCCCCACTGCATCAGCGCCTACTGGCACCCTCTTCGTTGGACGGGAAATGCCAGCGGTGCCGCGTCCCCCTGCTAAAAGAACATCAAGAAACAAAACAGTCCAAAAGGAACCTTGTGACTCCAGAGGGGACACACACACGCACACACACTGGGGAAAGAGTTGGGAGAGGATGTCAAAGTCCGGAACCTCCTAAGTATATGGCCTTGAAAAATCAGATACAAAGTGAACTCCACGACACCATCGAGCGATGCATTAGCCCTTTACCAAAGGTTAAAAATTGCAGGTACGCCGAGTTGATCAGACTCGGTATCCCGTGACTGTGGTAGCTTCGTCGAGCGCGGTCCCACAATCACGCCGCACTTTCTACGATCGATAGACAGCAAGTTCGAAGTCTTCCTCCACTTGTAACAGTTAAAGAAGGCCAAGTTCAAAGTTTGCGTCAAAGCGGGCTACACACACACAGACACTGTTATGGAAATGCATACTGGTTGGAAAGCGGGTGCCACACGCCAACCTGGGTTCCCAAATCCTGAACAGTTCAGGTAGAAACCCAAAGGATCCTGGGGTCTTCAAACGGAAGTGAGGCCCAAAGCGCAAGAACCAAAACGACGATCACGGATCGACAAGATGACAGCGGCCGCTCACATCTGCAGGTTGCATTAGACCTTTGCGGAGAGTGGTGTCACAATTTTTTCAAAAGTTCAGACCGTCGCAGGTACGTCACGGTGATCAGCCGTGATATCCGCGTGTACTGTGGCCGCTTCGTTGGACCATCCATCGCTCACAGCACATGGATGGTCCCCCTGCTGGAACGTGAAAAAGAAAAACAATCCACAGGGTCCCTGCGACTCCAAGGGTTACACACACACCTCCCCGAGGGGAAGCGAAAAATGCTAAGGCTAGGACGGGCGCGCATGTGCGCGCGCAGCAAAGACAAAAGAATGAAGACACGACAAGGGGGACAAAGGTGTATGTGGTTGCGATGAAGGGCCGGGAACCAAGCGCAGAGGGACAAACAATGAAACCCACCTCATTGAAAAGACCTGGGCGACCTGAAACCTGGGTTTAGAGAATGTAGTTGCGCACGCACACGCTAAGGCCGGGACCAATGCGCGCGCAAACGAAAGAAAGGATGAAATGAAAAGACATGAAGACAGGAGGACATGAAAGAAGAAAGGCAAACAGATCTGTGTGATGAGGAAAAGGATGAAAAGGGAAAACAAATGGAGGGGACGAGAACCGATGAAGCCAAACCTCATTAGAAACACCGGGGCAGACCTCGTTTACATGTAGACACTGTATGTGCACCTAAGAGTGGGGCAGGTTCTAAGGAACCTAAAAGATCCACGGTCGCTCTGCCCACGTGGGGGCGTTAATCCAGCTTGGACCGCTGCGGTCATGTTTCGGCATTGAGCCAGCCTGGAATGAAATAACTCAGCAAGTCTTGGCAAATGACTTTGGCGTAAGCCTCTTGCTGTCCGCTACGGACACCTACGTTCCCAAAGAAGGGGGAACAACGACAAACCCCCATTCAACGGGTCCACAGGGGGCACTCTGCGGGCTCACCCTCTCCAAGGGTTCCACTTGGATAAGGGCTCGCAAGAGCAGTATCAGTTGGTGAAGGTCCGGATTCTAGTTACTGACTACGTAGCAGATCGAATTAACGCCGAGCGTAAAAGGTCTAGGGGAATGTCGTGCAAACACCATGGAAACAAACCACAGCGGAGGAGAAGGTCAACAATTGAGCAAGTACGTGGAAACGGCGTCCCATTTCCATTTCCTCGGTTTCATCGCCAATGCGAAAACACGGATGCGAACAAGGAAGTTCACCAATTGAGAACTGGAGAGGAAATTGCGGCGGAAAGGTCGAGAAGCGAAAGAGAGAACATGCGGTGATGAAAGCCGAACAGGAAAAAAAACGTGAGAGAAAAAGAAAACAGAAGAAAAGGAAACAAGGGGGAAAGGCAGCAGCTTTTTAGACGCATCGCATTGGTCTGAGAGTAAAATAGATTGTCAAAGGAAGTTTAGTGTGCAAAACTTCCGTGTTACGGACATTCAACAGCCGTTCAACCACCACTCATCATACACCACTCATCATACACCACTCATCAAACACCACTCATCATACACCACTCATCATACACCACTCATCATACACAGCTCATCATACACCACTCATCATACACCACTCATCATACACCAGTCATCATACAACCACTCATCATACACCACTCATCATACACCACTCATCATACACCAC